AGTAGGGGCCGACATTAGTTTTTTTTTTTTTTTTTTTTTTTTTTCGATTTTTTTTTTTCGACATTAGTTTTTGTTTTTGGCAACCGTAGCTTGCCTTCAGGACAAGTCCTCAATGGTCCTTTCCTTTCCTTTGGGCCTCCTTCGCTTCCTTGCCCTGCCCTGCCCTGCCCTGCCCTGCCCGAATGCCACGGGATTACGGCCGTCGTACAAGGCTACTTTGCCCTACCCTTACGGCCCAGTTGCAGTACTACGACCCATTCGCCAAGATTTTGAATGCATCGGGACGGCGAACCGTTTCAGATTCATTACGAAATTTGGCGGATGGCGAGTAGTGCAACTAGGCCCTCACCCTACCGCCATGACATGACTGCCGCCATATAAACGTGGAAACCATTTTTTTTGCGGATTTTTTTGGCTTTCGGATATTCCTGATTCGTGATGACGTGCCTCATTCATTCCGTCAGTAAGACATGCGGGAGTCGTCCCAGTTACATTTTTTCAGAAGGTAGCCTGTTCATTCGTGTCCTGGCTTCGTTCACACACGTTCGCGGGTTTGGTACGTCAGTCGTCCTAGTTGCATGAGAATGAAACGGTAGCCTGTTCGTCCCTGCCTTTATTCACAACCGTCCGCAGGTGTGGTGTTGATGTTGGACCACCAGCGCAACCGAAATTTCCACCGGACCCCCGAGGCTAACAAGAGTCTATGGGAGAAATGGTGCTGGTACTGTTTTCTGCTGGATATGTTAGCAGCCTGTAAGGCTCAATTAATACACTCGAGGTCACTCTTTTTTTTTTTTTTTTTCAAAAAAAAAAAGGTCACTCGTTTTGGTGCTTTGGTCTGCTGGTGGTAGACCCGAGTGGTCATTGAAACGCTGCAGAATTTGGGGGAGGAGTTTGGAGGGGGTGACGGATTGATCCTTGGGCACAGGACCAGATAAACTGCATCATGGGGATGTTAGGCGCCCCGTCCGGCAGAGGCACTCTTGCCCTCGCTATAGGCCTATAGCCGGGATTGACTTACCGTGAGGGCACGGGTGCGCAGCCCGTAGTTTGTTTTGTTTTGACTGTGGCGAGGCCCTGTGTGTGTGTATGCGTGTGTGTGTGTGTGTGTGTGTGTGTGTGTGTGTGTGTGTGTGTGTGTGAGAGAGAGAGAGAGAGAACATCTCTGTTTCTGAATCTGGCTCAGAACTGCTTCCAGATTCAGACAAAATCATCCAGAACAGTGACTAGGCCGATTGGGCCGAAGTGGGTCGGCTGGGCATGAGGCTGTAGGCATGTATCCACGCCGTTTCATATTTGAATTTCAAGGACCTGCGGCCCCCACGCCGTTTCAAAATATTTTGGACCACGGCCACCTACCGGTTCCCAGGAAAATGCCACAGGCAAATACCGGTCCTGCATTTGCTTGAACTGCCGCCCCCCCCTAAATGCCCGTGCCTTTCATTTTACCAGCCTTTCAACGACCAATGGGCCCGAATGAACGACCGGTATAATGAACGACGACGAAAAATGTCTCAGGGGCATAAAACGCACACCTGACGGGCTGCGAACTAGTCTGGCTATGAATCTGTTCGCCCTATGGGACCAGACTGTCAGTCTGTTCCCACAGTTCAGTCCGTCAGTCCACTCAATCGTCTGGGGTATACCCCAGCAGCAGTTTGTTTGCAGCCCATAGGGTTGCTTTTATACACCTGAGTCATTTCATTGTGTTGATGGTTCGTATGGGCCCAATGGTCATTGGAAGGCAGGGGCCTGTCTCTTATACACATCTAGATGTGTATAAGAGACAGGGCCTGGGCCCACCCACTTTTCTCGAATAGAATGGCACTTCGAATATAACATATATGTGTCGTATTTGAATACAAAGCATATGAATTTTATTCGAAATTCGAAAAAAAAAAACTCTTGTTTTCAAATAAAACATTACTTTTTTTTTTTTTTCCGAGGTTAGCACTTACCCTTGTGCTCCCGATCTTTGACACGTTGTCGGTGCGAATACCTTTACAAGGGTATCCGCCCTGTTTTTTGTACGTGACAGAAAATAAGTTTGTTTTAAAGTCTGAGTACACAACGCGAGTCACGGCTGTGTTTCAATTGCGCTGACTAAGTGGTTGACTAGAAATAGAGATTGCGTGGGCGGGCAGACTAAAGGCGCGCGTGATCTTTTCTTATTGATGATTGCAAAGTCGGCGTGGTGGCCGGCCAAATTTATGTCTTTAATGAACTTCGGATTAAAAGATTTTGTTTTTTTATTGGTACGCTTGACCGCGGTATGTGCG